CCTCCTGCTCATTTTTTAACCACTTGATTCTTGTTTCAGAAGGATAAAACCTTGTTGCAGAACAAACAGCTAGCTAGGATAGCCCCACAGCTCTGCTTCCATGGGAGAAAGTTTCGCTTTGCATTTAACGGAAAAGAGAGAGATGAGGAGTTCTGGCCAATACTCCTCAGGAATCATTCCTAGCAACAGGACCTATGGATATCATACAGATTTCTCCTTCAAATCATTTGTCAATGCATCCTTTGTTCCAGACGCACTGCCTTCAACATGACCTCATATTACACATCTCCCAGACATATTCACCTTTAATCCTCTTTCTTTCTTCTCTCAGTGAAGGACCATCTCAGAAGATGAACTCTACTTCTATCAGAAACATCTGTAAGGCATATCTCATGTCACCTAAACCCAGTTAGGAGAACAGAAGAACCACTTTTTTCTCACCATCCTTTAAATCTCCCTCCCTGCAGACACTCTAACAACTGATGTCCTGCTTCCCTCCTCAAACTGATCTGATCCACAAAGAGCGCCAGTGCTCTCTGGAGAGCTTTTAGAAGGGCTCTGCTCTGCACTGAAAGAAGCAAACTCTACATTCGAGATACTTCCATATCTTTGCCAACACCTGAAACATCTCTAAAACCCACAGTTTATGTACCAGAGAAGGAACAGTGTTATGAGTTAGCTCCAGCTTGCATGGACCCACATGGACCTACACAAACAACCTGAGATCTGGGATCATCCCTGGGGTTATGGTTTATGGTAGTGATGTTGCCAAACTGCTGGCCAGTGAAGACAGCTTCCATCAGTGAAAAGAGGATGGGCAGCTATAGGATATGAGACCTACAACCATGAGATTATGCCATGAGATATGTGGTGAAGGGATTTCCATGAGCCATGTCATGAGACATGTGGCTAAGGGATTCCTGGGGGCATGATGGCTGAGGAGGTGGTAGGTTATAAAGCGAAGACTGCATGACACTCAACTCTGCTATCAGCCAGGTGGAAGAGGGAGTGATGCTACAGTGTCAGTATTCTGCTCCACTCCTGCACAAGACTGGAAGTCTGTGTAATCTCTCTCCTTGTTACTGTTGATATCCCTCATTTACCTATAAAATGGCTGCCCCACCACCACTTACTATGGCAGTAACAGAAGATTTATCTCACCGACACTTCTCCCAAAAGTATAAACTGGCATTGGAAATCCTCCATGGCTGAGGATCAGAGTATCACCACCTCACAGACAAGTTGACTGGACTTGATCCTCTCCTCTCCCCAAAGCAGAGTCATGCCTTTGGTAAGACCAACTGCATCAAAGTATACCCAGGAACACTTGTACATAGCAATGTTGCTCCAACAAACCTGCTCTATGGGTGAATCTGTGTCTGTGAAAGTTCTTACTGAACTAGATCAGACTTAAGAGTGTTGAAAATGTAAATGACACTACTGGTGAATCTGTGATCGCAAATGAGACCAGACTAACAGTGTGACCCACACTGTTGGAGCATCTAGGAATGTGACCAGACTTACTGTGCTGAATTGGTGAAAAACAGAAATCAAGCTCAGCTGCACTCAGCCCCTCTGACCTCTGAGGACCAGCTGGAAAGCAAGGGGGGTTATATTCTGCCAAAGTTCTATACTCTTAATGCAACATCAGCTCTGTTGAGTACAAACTAGTGTTTCCTGGAGAGCTCTGGGAACACAGTAATCCCTGTCCATCTCCCTGCCATCTTAAAAAAACAAGCTGGAGATTGTATCTCCCAGCACACTGACAGAACACTGTCCTGCAGTCCAGGAGCCTGGAAAAACTCACAACAAAGTGAATAAGTTTCAACAGCATTGACCCCAAGAATGGGGAAATGGGAGGAAATGGGGAAATGCTCAGGAAAAGGGAGCATGGAGCAGATCAGGGTTTATGGAGGAGCAGATACTCTACAGGTGAGCTCCTAGGGCATAAAGCCCATCTGAGAGATGGTCAGCTTTGCACTCTGTTAGTGCCTCATTGTAATTTTCTTTTAGGGATTGATGGATCAGATTCTTGCCCTCTCCAGGGATACCATTTGGACTTTAGAAAAAAGGATATTCAGCTGAATGGAAAAAGTTCAAATCCAGATCAAAAAAATCTGAGGCCAGACTTTTCTGTGTTATGCCCTTCCCTTCAAATACCCACAAGCTGGTCCTGGAGTAGATGAATCCGAGGGGAAGGATCTTATCCCTTTCCTGGTGTCTTTAGACACTGTCATTGGTGCTACCCTCAATTGTTCCCTAAATTAATTGTTTATCTTGCCTGGAGAGGGTTTTATGAGTCAAACAACACTAGAAAATGGACAGTATGACAGAACATGAGGCAAAACCTACAGCTGAGAACAGTAATAAAGGCACCATCTGTGACCAGGCACAGAGAACACGTAACATGCGCTGAACAGTCATTACATACAAGCTTAATTCTCACATTAAGCCAGGGGTTCCCTCAACGATAGAGCCCCAATTTCCTACCAGGTTACCTCCTGTATCACTGCCTGACACTGCAGTACCAGCTCCTTCCTGCACTGTGATTCTCTAAGAAACCACATCACAGCAGTGTACCAACACACAGCACAGCTCAATGCTGGCCCTTACAGGAGGGGATGGTGATTCGCATTAAAACTGATTTTGCTTGCTCAGGCATACCAAGATATGAGTATCCCTGTGTTTCCATCCAGCACTGAGGCAGTAACCTGCGTGTGTCCAGGCAGTCTGCATGATTCCATGCAGTGGCACAGAGGACAGATATTGGACAAGCTGTCCGTGTTGGCTGAGGATGTGCTTCTATCCGTCCCTCTACCTACCCTCCCTGCACCCCTCCCTGAGGCCTCCTATCCTTCCTTTCAAGGTTTTTCTCATCCACCTGGTTATGTCCCTGACCCTGCTCTGCAGCTCTAATTCCTCAGGATGGCCTTTCAAGGCACTCAGAGCTCAGGTCAAGACTGAGAGCCATGGGTGGGGACACTGGCTTACTGGGAGCAAAGGCAGAGGTGAAGGCAGGCCCTGGCAAGCAGCACAAGGGACTTTGAAGACAAGATGCTTTTCATGCACAGATAAAAAGCACCACAGGGAAAAGTCAAAACCAAACATCTACAAAGCTTTCCTCTCTCTTTCCCACGAGCCCAGCTTGTTTCTTTTAAATGAAGTCTCTGGCTAGCAATTCTTTCCTTACCTGAGACATTTTAGCAAGGTAGGGATTTATCTTCCTACAATCAGTGTCACAACCAAAGCTGCCTCCCAGCACCCCTGGCCCTGGGGCATCACATTGCTGCTATCTCTTGTTTAATCCAGTGCTCCAAAGATCAGTGCACAGGAATGAGGCAACCTCTGACCACAAGCACAGCAGAAATATTCAGCTGCTGCCTTCCATGAGACCGTGTTGCTTCAAGCCCCATCCAACCTGGCCTTGGACACTTAGAGGGATGGGGAAGCTGTGCCAGTGTCTCACCACTCTTACAAGGAATAATTTCTTCCTTATCTGCAATCTAAATCTACTCTCTTACATTTTAAAGCCATTTTCCCTCATCTTTGTGGGAAAAAAATTTCTCCCTTGAATTTAAAAAAATGGTAAAAACTCATGAAACAAAGAAGGAAGAATTTATTCAGCACGCTGGGTCTTGTCTCACACTGAGTCTCCAGGGAGAAAAGACCCCTTGGGTTTAAATTTCATGCATTTTATAGTTTCACAAAATTCCACCCTTTTTCAGATTAGTTTAATATATTCATTTTTGCCTAAGTTTTCTTTCCTCCAAAAAGGGGCTTTCCCCTTCTTCCAATTGGCTGTGAGGTGTCCTCTGTCAAAAATGATGGATCTTCCTTTGTTCTTAGCACCCCCCCAAAAAAACCCCTGTGTTCAAAATTGGCCAAATGGCCCAGAAAGGTTTCAATTTTTATGAACTTTATATTTCCCTTATCCCGGCCGCAAAAGAGCCCTGGTACCCAGGTACCCTGCTTGGGAACGGCGTACCTTACAACTTCACAGATCGCCTATAATTTTGTTTGTAATAAAAACCACTGTATTTTAATTTTTCACATCTTGGCATTAGTAAGGGACTCTCTCAGTCTTTCCTATAAACCCCCTTTCACTATGGAAGGGCTGCAATAAGGTCTCCCTGGAGGCTTTTCTTCTCCATGGTGGACAACTCGCTCCAACAGGTCCATGTCTCTCACACAGTTCTCCAGGTGGGGTCTCACCAGAGCAGAGCAGAGCAGAGGGGCAGAGTCGCCTCCCTCGACCTGCGGGCCACGCTGCTTTTGATGCAACCCAGGTTACAGCTGGCTTTCCGGGCTGGAAGTGCTCATTGCCACGGCGCGTCCAGATTTTAGCCCACCAGCATTCCCAAGTCACTCTCTGCAGGGCTGGAGACGCTCGCCCTGGCGGCTGCTCCTCACCTGCTACTCAGGGGACCTGGACAGACAGAGGGCCATAAGCCTGAAGAAGGGACAGGAGGAAGATTTTATTTCTCAGCGAGGCTTGCAGAGCAGCCCCGAGTCCTGCCTCCCTCATCGGGACACGCACGGGATGGCAGAAGGGCTCACGCTCCCTGAGAGGAGCCCAGGACGGGAAGAGAGCAGCTCATGGGCTAGATCGCGCTGCCGCCGAGGAGGTCCCAGAGAGCAGCAGGACGCCTCATCCCCGCCACGGGGATCCCTTGTCTCCCAGCACGGCATCCCTCCCGCGGCCAGCGCAGAAACCTCGGCACCCCGCGACTCGCTTGGCGGCGACATCCCACGCCGGGAACTCCATTTCCCAGAGGTGCTTGCGCCCGGGCGGCGGAAGAGGCGGGCTGGGCAGGCTCTCCCGTTCCGATTGGCTCGCTGGGGGGCAGTCCGAGCGGCCATTGGGTGGACGAGGGGGTCACGTGAGACGGTGGGCGAGGTGCCGGCTCACGTGGGCCCGGGCTGGAGCGGGAGCGGGACCGGGAGTGGGACTGGGACCGGGACCGGGACCGGGACCGGGACCGGGACCGGGCTCGGGCTCAGGCCGGGGCTCCGGGGGGAGCAGGCTCTCCAGGCATTGCCATGCTGGGGGCCTGGGCCCGTGGCGGGTGGCGGGCCGTCCGGCGCTGCGCCTCCCTGCCACGGGCGGTGCGGCTGCGCGTCCGCGACGCGCTGGGGGCGCGGGAGCCGGCGGAGGCGGTCAGAGTGCAGGTGTGTGTCCCGGCGTGTGTCCCGGAGTGTGTCCCGGAGTGTGTCCCGGAGTGTGTCCCGGAGTGTGTCCCGGAGTGTGTCCCGGAGTGTGTCCCGGAGTGTGTCCCGGAGTGCCGGCAAATGCCCCGGTCCGGAGCCTGAGCAGAGGGGAGAGGGCCTGGAGTGGTGCCTCTGGGAGGAAGAGCTGGGAGCTCCGCAGGGCGTTTTGCTGAGCTCCCGGATCGCCTTGGCGGTGTGCGGATTGTCGCTGTGCGATGTTCCGGTTTGTGTGCTCGGTTTGCTGTTGGCAGAGCTCTGGAGTTACTTGGCAGGAGCAGGAAAGGGTGGTCGCTGTGATGGGTTGTACCGAGAAGTGCTCTCTGCAGTGTTGGCTTTGTCACCTGTTCCGTTTGGGAGAGCAAACCACTGTGCTGTTTTCAAAGTTTTTTCGTATATCTTGTACTGCATCTTTATACCACAGACCTGTAGGTTTATAGCAGTGTCAGTAGAACCATCGATAGCTTTCGCTGCTGTTCGTGTCTGGCTCGGTTGTGAACCAAGGTAGATTGGGATAAATGGACTTCTTAGCAATGGAGCTCTTTCCCTTGACATAGGTTTCATTTCCCTTGACATAGGAACACCCAGATTTCTGGTGTTCCCAACTGGCTGAGCACGTGGTTGCACACACAGTCCCTGTTTGGTGCAAGGCCTGTGGCCAGAACTGTGTATGTACTTCACTAAAATGCTCTTCATCTTCAGAATGCCTTCCTGCTTTCTGTCTTCTCAGCTCCCCAAAGATGCAGGTGCATCTTAGTTATTCCTTCCATACTCAGGAGGATGTCTCTGCCTAAGGATTTTTTTTCTCTCTGCTTTGAGGTCAGAAGGAAAACTGACACTGACATTTTTTACCCTTTTTTATTTATTTTTTTTTGTCCCTAAAGACACACTTTGATTTCAATAAGAAGCTAAAATAGGCTTGAAGTGGCGTGTCCAAGTTAGCTGGAAGAAGAGCGTGACTGCACAGTGTCCATGCCAAGAAATAACAGATCTCTTTTACCTCTAGGGCTGGGTCCGTTCTGTCCGATCCCAGAAGGAAGTTTTGTTCCTGCACATAAACGATGGAAGTTCTCTGGAACACCTCCAAGTGGTTGCTGATTCCAGCCTGGAAAATAAGTTGGTCTGTTTGAAGTAAGTGGAGAAACACATTTTGAGCGGGGCTTGGAGCGGTCTGCTCAGCCCTCCTTTCCTGTGCCCAGGACTCGCCACCAGCTGGCACCAGACCACAGGAAAGGCACTGCTGCAGTCTGGGGTCTCTGGATGTACTTTTAGAATGGAGAGTGTCATACTACTGTCTCCTCTAGGTGAGGCCTTGTGGTTCAGTTGATTAATCCTGTGAGATTAACTTGGACCTAATTTTCTTAATAGTGTAGACATTATTGACTGCTGTTGCAATGCTTGGAAATCACACAAGGTAGCCAGGGATAACTGTCCCCCAGGTTTTGGAGGGTGCTGTTGATCTTCCTGTAATAACTTTTGAGGGCTGGCTTGGTAGGCATGCTCCCTGAAGAGGCGTGCCTGATCTAGTGTAATAAAATAATACACTTGTTTTACAGCTTGATTTTGTTTGTTACTCTCAGTTGTTCATTGGACTAGGGGTGGGAGTTTTGGGAAGATCCAGGCATCTTCTGTGTGTAATTTAATATATTAAATTTTTTTTTTAATTTTTCTTCTGTAGGCCTGATTTATCTCCACCAAGAGCCCCTTCAGATAAAAGCCTGCCTCTTTTCCCCTTACTTGTCCAACACTCCTACCTTGTCCTGAATTCTTTTATATTGTTGTGAATCTATTCACATTCCCACCTATTCATTTAATAACTTGTCATTTCATCAGTTAAGCTGTATAGCTACAGCATCTCTTGTGATCTCAAGTGATCCAGCTAAATTAACAGGAATCTCTCTTCTGAATGTAGTTGATGTTGTATCAGTACTTAGTTAAGCTGTTGTTTTCTTTTGGTTTTTTAGAGACCTGACTTTTGGAAGTGCAGTGGAAGTGCAAGGGAAGCTGGTCAAAAGTCCTCATAGGATGCAAAATATGGAGCTGCAAGCCGAAACCATCCGTGTGGTGGGACCTTGTGATATTTGGGTATGTCGCTGCAGCAGGAGTGGTAGGACTGCTGGAAATCAATTTTTTAAGGTCCAAGCATCCACCAAAGCATGCTTCAAACTGTATTTTCTGTAAGTCTGAGTCGTCCTGCAGGCTTTGATTTGTCAGTGGTGTCTATAGGTTACATCAAAGAAGAAACATGGAATCACCATGAGAGCTCTTCTCTGGGGCACAGCTGTTTCTGCATGGAAACAGGTGCACATGCTGGCAGCTAAGAGTTTGCATTTGTCCCACCCTGATACACCTGTACCAGGTGGTGTACCTCATAAGTCTGGTCGGGATATGAATTGGAGAAACAGTGGGACTGGCAAGATGCTTCAGGTTGTGCAGGTGGAAGAACTGTATCTGCCACAGGCACAGGTTGCTGTTGCAGCAGTGGGGTGAACAGCTGGGTTTCAGGGGGGCTCAACATGCAAAAATGGAACATTTCAGAGTGCTTGTACCTTCTCATGTGTTCATGGCTCTTGCTCTGCCGTAAGCATTATAAAATCCACAAAATAACCAGAAAAGGTAGGGAAAAGCATCTAGTTCTTCTCTGCTCTGTAATGATGATTGACTTTTAGTAGGCAGAGATGCCTTTCCCTGAATAGCAGTAAAACTGTATTGACTCCCAAGTTCTCATCCTCTTATTTTTGTTTCCTTGTTGTTTTTAGTCGTTTCCCCTGAAAATGAAGGAGAGGCACCCGCTGGAGTATGTCCGACAGTTCCCTCACCTGCGCTGCAGGAACAACACACTGGGCTCCCTCTTGAGAATCCGCAGTGAAGCCACTGCAGCCATCCACTCCTTCTTCCAGGTAGTCCCTTCTGTACTGAGCCTTCTGTGCAAAATGCTCCCCCAGGCTGGCTTCACAGGTGCAGGTCAGGAGGGAAGGAGCATGACATCTTGACTACAGGGTATGGATTTTGGACACGGTGGTTTTCTTTCCAGGCCTGAGCCTGGCTGGGCCTTGGCTGTTGCTTATGATCAGGTTAGCACATCTGTGACCTTGTCAATGTCTTTTCACCCATTTCCTGTTATTTTATCCCTTTTTCTAAGTTACAGTGTAATTGTCTGCAAGTGTGTGGTCTGGGGAACACAACATGATACAGAGTTGTTTAACCCATCTTCAGCGGTGACCTTATGGTCCTTGGACAGAAGCCTCTTCCCACATGGAAAAATCTGTGATAAAGGAACACAGACAAACTGACTCAGAGCTTCCTGTTATTCTCAGTTCTTTCTATTACTGCAATACAAGTCTATGTGAGTGCTCTTAGCTGAGATTAGAAAACTCCTGTTTTATATCAAACTGATGAGTGGAAGCCACCTGAGTTTTCTGAATGTGTCACCCTTAAACTGAGGGCATGGCACAGACTTTGTGCAGGCAGGGCAGGCAGTGAATTAACTGTGATGCCAGATATCACAGCAGAGACCATGTGATTCCTTGTGTGAGTAAATACAGAAAAGTAGCAAGTGCTCTAGCACACCTGAGCCATTCACTGAAATAAACATTAATTGTTCATTGAAATAAACGTTTTAGTTTAGATAAGCTGTCTTTAGTTTGAGGAGAATCATATTCAGAGCATTCTGGTTACAAAATTCATATGTAGTAATTAGTGTGGCCCAAGGAACAGGGTAGAATTGTTGAGACTGAATTTGTAGTACCAAGTGTGCTGGTCTTTGTCACCTGCAGTGGCAAAGAAGGCTTGCTTGCTCTAGGAGTTACCTGTTTGGAATTGCGTGGTGTTTGAACGACTTTTGTGGATTTTTGGTTTGGTACGGTTTTTTTTTAAAGCCTAATAGAAGTCTTGTGTCAGGTAAAGCTGCTAATTCCATAATTGTGTATGCTCTTAAGGCAACTCCTAGGAATCAGTTTATGCTGGTCTTGAGCCACTAGATGGCATTGCCTACAACGGTTTGTGCTTCCAAACCTGGGCACAGAAGGCAGCTGAGGTACAGAAAACATTTTATTCAAGCCTTGTTTTTCCGAATCAACTGCTGCTCAGGCTCTGGCATACCTTCCTGTTTAAAATGCTCAAGAGCAGACCTGTATTAAAAATTAGAATCAAAAATTATCATTAATTTAGCAGTGGCAGCTACACTAAAATTATTTTTAAAAGGATAAGGAGTATTTGGTCCCAGACGGGATATTTTGCAAATGCTTATGTCAGAACTCTCCTAGCACCAGGAATGTTTGTGTTTGCTTCATTTCTGATGGAAGGAATGGAAGTATTCTGAAGTTGTCACGTGACCTGCATCATCCCAAGAATATTGCAATTTCCAACTTGACAATATCAGAATATACCATAGCTAGAAAATATAATTGGAATATTTTCACTTTGGAAAGCTGTAAGGAGCTGTTGAAAGCTAAAATGTCGTCTTTAAATCTTCTGAATACTTTGGTCCATGTGGGATAGGAACATTGCTCCTAGGCACAGTAAGATAGTTGCCATGTGAATGGCAGCTTCCACTTTGCACATTAACTTCCAGGTTTGTCAGAGCCAGTAATGTGGGTTGAAGTATTTTAGAAGCTTTTATAAGGGGAACTGTCCAAGAGGTTTTAAGTGATTCTCTCACTTCAGATCCATGCGGTTTGCATTCCTTTCCAAGGCATGTAGGGGGTCTTCTGTGTGAAATGTGCTTCTTTACAGCAACTTCTACCACTGTATGAGGAATTTAGGCAGTTTTCCAAAATCTCATGTAGAATCTCAGGAGGCCACGTGACCAGCAGGTCTCTGAATATGCAGGGGACTGTGTCAGAGACCTGCATTTTGTATTGGTAAACTGGACTACCTTCTCCAAGTAAAGCAAGTAGTTCTGGCCCCAAAACTTCCTTCTGTGCAGTAACTGTATCTCAGTGAGGAGCTCCTACCAGGCACTTGGCAAGCCAAAGTCTTGCACCTGTAACCAAAGTAGCCTAGAGATGACTGCAGAGACTTTGCTCCCACTTGTTATTGTTATTGTACTTCCACAAAGTGCACTGCATGTCCATACAAACTCTTTGGTCCAAATTAATTTTAGTTTGATTCTCAGAGTGGGCAGACAATACCGCTCCAGTCTTCCTAGCCTTTTAACTAGCTGGTGATAAGGACCAGGACCTCTCATGTGACTGGCTGATTTGTATTATTCTGTTAAAACTGTGACGATAAGCTTTTAGAAGCATTTGTTTTCTTAACTATTTTTTATGAGTATTTTGTGTAAATAGACAGTGGGCTCTGTTACATCATTGCCTGTATCATGGTAGTGCTGGCACACCCTAATACTAAAGGGGTTCCCTTTGTGGTAGATATTGCATTGATGCAAGAGAAAACAAATCCTTTGTTCACAGCTGAAATTAGATAGTTCCACGTTCTTTTTGCTTGGACACAGATGGATATGATTTCAGTGTTCCACCAGTGACCTCCATGGTGAGACTAAGTTAGAAAGGTGATGGGTAATGGACTTCTGTTCCTGGTTTTGCCTCTGTGCAAAATGCACATGCTGCATATGCTTGTTTGAGGTCTGCTTGATGTATCTGTCTACTCAATATGGGGTTGCAGCCGTTTTCAAAGCCTGTGGCTGCGCTGCAGAGAAATCCAGAGAACAGGAGCTCTTTCTTTGTTCAGCCCTCCTGGTTTCAGAGGCCACTGCTGAATCTATGAACTATTATGTGAATGTGTAATTCTGTAGGCACCTAGAACATAACCAAGCCAGGGTATACCCTGTCTCTTAAAATCACTTTGACTTCAGTATCTCAGAAGATGCAAGGTGGGACTGACATTGTAATGGTGGTTGGGTGTTTTGAAGATGTGTCTCCCACCCAGTGTGTAACTTTTGTCATCCAACACACTTGATCACTTCTCTTAGTGAGTGTCCTCTGCCTAACCACTGTCTTCCAAAAAGCTGGAAGAAAACAAATGTTGATGGCATAGGGGTGAATTTAATTGAAACTGCCCAAAAATAGAAAAATGCTGGGGGAGGTGGTAAGAAAGGGGAATGGTGTGGAGATGGGCCATTGCGAAAGAACCGTAGTAATGACACAACTCTCGTTTGGTTATGGAACGTGAAGGAAAATGCACAGGTAGTAAACATTAATTTGAAAATCATGCTAGCATTTAGTTAGTCATCTGTCCATGTAAGGCAGAAGCTGCCTCAAAGACCACGTGTGTTGTCCTGGCTGGGGGCTAATAGCTAAGTTACGATGTGTGCTGGCTGATGTCACCCTTGAGGTTGATGTTGGACATCTGTAGCTAGTTAACTTAAGTGTTCCATCTCTTCCAGGATAATGGCTATGTGCATATTCATACCCCCATAATTACATCCAATGACTGTGAAGGTGCTGGGGAACTCTTTCAAATTGAGGTAAGTTGGGTTGCAAAAAGTTTGTGATTTTTTTTAATTTTATTTTTGTCTTTGCTTGCAAATCAGTTCTTGAGTTATTGAAGGTTAGAGGTAATGTTTATCTTTACAAACCCTTTTATGTACTTCTGTGATTATTATTTTTTAATAAAGTAATCCTTAGCTTCAGCTAATAATTTAGACAGAGTTAAACAGATGCTTTTTTTAATTTTATTGCTGTTTTGTGCATTAATCAGTACCTTTTCTACTGATGAGGTTTTTCTATCCCTGGTGCTGTGGAAAAGTTTACACAGAACAACAGAGGGAGGTGGGACATCTTAGTAAACAGAATGATGTTCTCTTAAGAGCTCAAGAGATGGAACGGGTCATTCAGGACAGACTACTACAGTCAAATACTTCTTAGCTCTGGAACAAAGGATATAATTCACCATGAGATAATCCTTAAAAAAAGTCAGCAGTACCTAAAATTCCTTTTCACGTGTGTATATACAGGTTCCTCCCTACATGCTACTCCTGTTCCATGTCAGAATTCTCTCCCAATGTTGTCAAGCTGCCCATCCACCAAAATATTACCACAATCTATCATTATATGAAGTATGTCACATTATGGGTCAGAAACTCCTATGAAACTGAAACACAGCCCTAACCACTAAGATATTCCCCATAGATTTCTCATGATTCCTAACCCCCCACATCCATGAATCATGAGGAATTCCATCTGCCTTTTATACTTCTATATTTGAAATTCACTCCTCTGTCTCAAACAATGGCATCCATTGCCACTTATGCTTATTGGCTCCAGCTTTGCTGGTGAATCATCTGTAAGCAAAAGAAAAATTGTCGAGTTAGCGGTTGCTTGCTGCAGGATCCTGTCTTCCACTCTCTGCACAGCCTCATGACAAAAAGCTTCTGTCTACTGGTTCTTCAGGATCTTACTTAAGGTCTAACCTGTGCTACTGGTGATTCCCTTCCAGACCAGTACGTGTGGCTCAGCTCTTGGCTTACTGGGACAATAGAGTTGATTAGCTAAACTAAACTGTTCCTCTTTAACTGAGATCCCTTGATGCTACCAAAGGTTCATTCCAGGCTGTTGCATGCAAATTAAGATGTGAAAACAAGTGACACTTAATGATGAAAACATGGTGCAGTTTGCAGCTGTACCGTGTATTACGTCGTTGGTACAAATTGTATCCACTTGAAAGCTGTAGAGGATGCGGGACTACAGTGTAGGTGGCTGGCAGGAACAGAAGCCCTGATGCAAATGTTGAATGAGGTGCTAAATTGTGAGTCTGAAACTTGTATAAACTCGATCTTATCTAAATGCATGGTTCAAGGCAAATATTTTGCTCTCTCTCCAGTGGTATTGCTGAGGTGCAAATAATACTTGCAGTAATGTAGCTACAGCTGTGCTTGAAAGGTGTGGAGCAAGTGCCGAGTCAGATCCCATTAAATGGCTTGTGCCACAAAGGAAGAGCTTCAGAAAACTGCTTGCTGCTGGGAAGAGGGAAGTTCTCCCTGATTTCCTGTTTCTTCTTTGAGTATCGCTTCATTGTCTGTCCTGATTTAGGACTTAGTTTTGTTTCTGCCAAGCCCTGTTCAGAATTGGTCTTGGCTAGTGGAGATCCAAGACCACCTCCTATCCTGCTGGGACTACTTCACTCCACTGGAGCAGTGACACTGTCTTTTGACAATGAAAATGTGGGGAAGATTAAGATTGGACCGTACATGTGAGGCTGTCAGACACAAAATAAGGGTGACAGAAGGGTGTCAGAAATAATAATAAAGGTGTGGTATGTGCAGCAAAGCCCAGAATCTTTAAATGCTTTTAACCAAACCAACTATCAAGACATGCCCTGTCTACTGTATTAGGTCACTTTAAACTAGCCTTTAATTCACTGCTTGCACAGGCAAAGGGAGAAAATAAGTTCCTGTTCCTCTTATATTTGAGCAGGAGTGAAAAATGATGGTGATGGGAATCAGTGAAAGCAACCTGCAAATTAGATTCTTCCATTAAAAAATTGTTTAAATCCTGTTCTTTAAGTTTTAAGACATATCTTCTAGTTGTGACCAGAACATGAATTGGTGTTCTATTGCTCCTGGATTTGTAGTAGTTACAATACACCTGCTTGGGGTTGGGTTTTTTTCTGCCTTTTGAGGTTGTTTTTTAGCTTCCTGGGGCAGTGTATAAAACTGATGATCTCACCAGTTTAGCTGACCTGTTGGGGGTGGAGTAAGTTGAAAACTTCAGTTGAGTAGCCTTTAGGACCCAAGTAGAGGCTGCTTTTACACCTCCTATGAACCATTGCATTCAAATAGCTATCTTCTTGACTGGCACAGTCTTAGTCCTCTGACTGATGTCTGATGGTTGCTCAGGCCTGTGCATTCTTTGGAAATGAAGGAAAGGGAAGAGAGTAGGAATGTGTTTTTACATGTGACTTGAAGAGATGGGGAAAAATGTATCTTGAGCTAGAAGGAGAAGGCTTTTTGAAATATGGTCTTTGATTCCTGGACCTCTTAATCCTGTAGGATTTGTGTTTGTTTATATGTTCAGCTTCCTCATTATCTTTGTTTGGTTTTGGGTGTACTGATTAGTCTGTAGCTTTGGCTGGGAGGTTCTCATACAAAGACTTGGGAGGGGGGTGGAATCCATTCCCTCTCAGCTGGGCAAATCAGTTCAACTAAATATTTTAAAAATGGAGTACCATAATGGTGAAAAGAGGGCAGTAAGCAGAGGACATTTAAAAAAAAATTAAGTATATCCCAAGATGGTAACAACTGCAGAGAAATCTTCTGCAGCTGAGAGTTTCTACACATGAAAAATGTAGGCTTGAGGAGAAGCTTGAGGAGAAACTGTCAGGAGTGTGAAAACAGCTAGACAGACCCTAACCCACATGGAGAACATCAGCAACACCAGCCTGTGGATTTCTGTGCTGTTGACAATGTCTGCCTTTGGTGAAAGCCTATAGGGGAGGAAGCATCTTGTTTGTGCTGCCCTCTTTAAAGGAAATTTATTGAAAACACTAGGAGAGCTTTGAATATTGAAAGCTGGGTTTTAGTATAATCCAAAGCAGGACAAGGTAATTCTTGAAATAGGGAAAGTGCAGATCAGTAGGGTGAGACAGCCCTTATTTTAATTTAATCTGAGAATAATTTCTCTGTACCAGCAGTTTCAGCACCTCATCACAGATTTCTTTCTTTCTTTTTTCCTTTTTTTTTCTTTCTGAAGTCTAAAATTCTTAGCAGCTTTGTATGTTGTAAGAAGCTTTTCCTAGTCCCCTTCTGGGGCAGCATCCTGCAAAATCTGCCTTTCTTTTGTCCTTGTGACCCAGCTACATGTCTGTTCCCTGCTATTTTCAGTAGCCTCCCACTCTGTCTGCAGTGTTGAAGGCTCTCTGGATCTCTTGCTCTCTCCTTTCCACTTTGCTCCCTGGAAAATTTTCTTTGTATGGCCGTTCTCAGCTGCTGGGGATAAGTTGGAGGCTTCTCTGTGCTCTGTAAGAGTCTTTCTGGCCCAGGACACTCCAGCTGGTATGATGAGGGTCTCAACAGCCACTTTCTCTGTTGCCCAGCTGCAGCCTTTTAAGAGAACTCAGCGTGCAGTGAGTTACAAAGCACAACAGCTGTATTGGCATTCACAGTTCCTTAAAGTAGATCTCACGTGTGGGTTTTGTTGCCTGTGGCTTTATTCCTTCCTGGGGACCTTGCTCTACGTGCAAGGAGTGCTTCACTCTACCTTTTGGCTTCAGCAGAGGTAATATGTGCTCTGCTTGAGGCTTGTCTCTTACCACACACACCTGATTGCACCTGGATAGATCTGAACCTGGGTTGATTGCACCTTGACTGAACCCAGAGTCTGGATCAGGCCATGTTGTTACCTGAAAGGATACTTAACTGTAAACCTGAAGAACCATCCAGGTATAGTTCTTAAAAATGCATCTGGAGATTGTATGGTGTTTGGCTTTTGGTTTTGTTTTTTTTTTCCTCAGGAGTGAATGTCAAAGTTTCTAGATTCCTGAAGGTACAAGTTCATGGCTGTGCCTACTATGGCACTGGAAATATTTGCCTGCTGCTGAAGATGCAGAAACTTACTCCTGCCATCCTACTGGTACTGCTGAAAAATAGCCTGGTCAGCACCAAGGAAGGCTGGGACCTGCTGGGGAGAATCACAGTTAGACGCAGCAGTATTAGTGTCTGTCAGGTGTTTTCCCTTTTAGAGATGTGTCACAGTCTGTGAGGCAGCCAGTCCCTGGGAGACTGGGGCTTCAGAGGCTGTGCTCAGCAGGGATCAGAATAACCTGGAACTGAGCTGAAGGAGGGCTCGCTTTTTGCTTTTTAATTTTCTAGCTTTGCCATTTTTTGCCTGTTTCTATCTGGTTAACTCCCTGTCTGTAATTCCAGAGGGAATTCTGTCTCAGGCTGGTTCTGTCTCAGGAAAACCATCTGCTATTGCTCGGTGCAAGTCCAGCTGATCAGAATTAGGACTGGAATTGTAAGGAGGACTTCTTGGAAGTTAGAAATTGTCTAAGGGTTAGGGGTTGTCTAAAATGGGAAATGCAATCATGTTTATAATGGAGTGTCACAGAGGCCAAATCTGGATTAAAGATGTGGTGTTGTAAAGCTTCAGCAGCATGATGATATAGGCCTGGGCTAGAGCTTCAGCAGTGATTTCTCTGAGCTTTTAGATTCTTCTCTGATCCCTTTATGCATTTGGCTTGCACAGAGTGAAAGACAGAATCAAATGGTTTGTACTCTCCTGAAGCTAATTGCCTCAAGTAGAAGTTAGTACGAGACTGACATCAAAGGGAATAATTTTAAATTAAATCATTAGACATTTGAGGAGATGGAGAACAAAACAGGTACTAAATCCAGTTGTTCTTGTATTTAGAATGAGAATAAAAAGCCTTTGAAGTTGACGTCAAATACTAATATGTTTGTAGCGCATTTATTCTGAGACACCAAGGTGTTTCATACAAGAATTCCCCCTCCCTCTTTCCCCATTGTAATTTGGGCAGTTTTTGACTAGGGAATGGAGAGAGCTTGAAAGCAAACCTATTAATTCCCCTCCTAATCTCTTACCAAGTCTGTATTTTGGGGTTGGGAAGAGGGAGAAGAGTCCATCCCGTTGAAATAAAGGCACCACAATGTTTTTGTTTTATTTTGCTAGTCACATGGGACATGAAAACCAATCTTACCCAGTGTCAGCAGTGAAGGCATAGTGTCACCTACTATTTATTATTTGTCTTGTTCCAGTGGCTGTGGTTGTATATAATAAAAAAAAGCCATCTTGATCTAAAAGGCTGAGCATGAATCCGAGGCACTTGCACTTGAAAACATTGGCCTGTGCTTGGATGTGTAAAGTGGAGTAACCACCTCTGGTGAATTAGTTGATATTTGTACGTGTGAAATGTACAGCTGCTAATTACAGAATATCTCCTTGCTGAAGGGATCCCTTCTGAACAAAAAGGGAGGCATTTAATTTTTCCTGCATAGCCAGTAGATTGACTTTTGCAGCTCACAACACTGATTATTGTGTCTCAAAACGAGGGAGAGAAAGTGGGCAGCTGTGGAGAGGTGAGGTGATCGGATGGTGATGGGGGAGTAAAATTTTATCCAAATATTGCTGTGTTCACTCTTCACCGTCTGTCAGGAGACATCCAGGTGCTGCTCACAATGCAGACACACATCTTGGGATCTCTCAGTAGCTTCTAGAATTGGCTGCAGGTTTTCAGAAGTCCAGTTGAGCTGTAGACTGTCTCGCTCTTTCTCCAATCACTTACTGTGTGCCTAATTTCTCTATGTCTCTCTGAGATTACATCTGATTTGGAGAATGAAAAATGACACAAACTCATAAATAAATAAACCAAGCCCCAGCTCCTGGAGACAGCTGTATCAAGCACTGAGATTTTGTGGCTGATTTCTTCTGCTCTTTGCCTGCTTCCAGTCTCTCTCTCGTTTAGAAGTTGCATCCTACTGGATTAGGTAGGATTTTTCACTGGTGGAACAAGGCATATAGCTGAACCAAGCTTGCAGTAAGAGAAACTGGAGTGGTACATGACTGTTCTCTTAAGTCTTCTGACCGTGGTTCTGGGGCTGCAGTATGTGGATGTTTGTATGTTTATTAATATCCTTATTGTTTTTGAGCAAATACTCTGGGTTTATTTGATGAAAACAATAGGGGCCTGCTTCTGCATCCTTGGGGTTGGTGTTTGGTTTTTTTAGAAATGCAAAAACCTCTTAAGCAAAAGAAGCGGTCCTGGGGTTACAACCACAGATTGCCATACCTTCATTGATCTCTGTGGAACAAGGCAAGCTTGCTTGTTTCGTTAGTGTGATGCTGTGAAGAGATAAAACTACCTTGTGATCTGAGGTCTTTGGCAGTCACTGTTTTATCTTTGCAATGAGCACCAGAGCTTTTTGAGAACAAAAGCAACACCTTCCAACTCATTGAGAAAAATGACAGGTTGTAGAATATCAAAGGCTGGCAAACAAGTCTGAGCCCAGGCACCTCCCTGTGACAGAGCAAGGTGGGGAGTGGGGTGGCTGGAGGCAGTGGCATACTTAGCTGAGCTAGCATAACTCCTAGAAACTACACTTCGAAAAGTGGGTATTTCAAACTTATTTCAGAAGAAAGTCTTAGTTTGGAAGTAAATGTAGATCAGCCAAACCCCAGATTAGCTTTGAAGTTCTGTTCTGTTTTTGTCCTGAACCTTTGGCTTCTCCAAAGCTTAGGGATGACACTGACATATAGAAGATGTTGAAACAAAATCTCATTTATCGTCATATTTCTTTGAAAGTTACAGAATTGTGACCTCTAGAGATCATCTAATCCATCTCATTGTGCTCAAACAGGGTCAGCTGGAGCAAGATGCCCAGGACACTGTGCTACTGAGTTTTTTATATCTCCCCAGATGGAGACTTCACAGCCTCTCTGGGCAACCTGTTCTAGTGCTTGATCACCCTCAATAAATAAAGAAGGTTATTCTTGATTTCAGATTAATTTTTGTGTGTCTTTTTTAAAATCTGTGCACGTTTCCTCTTGTCCTCTCAGTGGGCACAGCTGAGTCTGGTTCAGTCCTCTCTATAAGTATTTATTCAAAAGGATAAGATCCCCCTTAAGCCCTCACCTCTCCGTGCTGAACAGTCCCAACTTTCTCAGCCTCTCCTAATATGAAAGATGCTCCAGTCCACTGATCATTTTTGTGTGCTTTGCTGGATATATCACTCCCGTATGTCCGTGCCTTGTACTGGGGAAACAAGGGCTTTACCCAGTGATCCCAGTAAGTCACCAATGCTGTGCACAGGGGAGGGAACCCCTCCTTGACCGGCTGGCAGTGCTAGCACAGCCCCAAAGTTGGTGACTTTCCTTGCTTGCTGTCTTATGCCAGGGAAATGGTGAAGCACAAGCCTTTTGTGCAAGTGACATTTAAATTGCTCGACACCGAGATCTTACAATTTTTCTTTTGTGTCTGTAAATTAAAGAACAGAAATATACTTTTACTTAAATGGGATTCTTTTTTGGGGAGAGTTTTTCATAATGAAACACTGAACTTGCTGAATTTTCCATTACCTGTAGATTTTTATCCTTAAAATATCTGATGACCTGAAAAAATATTCAAAAGCTACAGTGAAACATAGTTTATTTTTCAGTGCCTCTATAATGTGTAAGCTGTGATGTTTCCAACTCCATATTGTTGTAGTTCTGGGGTTTTTTTTGAAGACTGAATAACAAGAGGATCCTAAGAGGATATTGCATTCTTTTTTTTTTTGTATTATTACTGTTTGTCTTTTTCCAATGGAAACAAATTCATTTGCCCATGAAAAGAAAGTAACACTGGTTTTAAAAGTTTTTGCTAGAAGTCAGTGTGACTGACACAGAAAACATTCCTTCACTTTCTCTTCAGGCTTGAAATTGAATTTTGAAGGCAATGCTCTATGAAGCTTCAAACTCCAAATGAAAGAGATTCTTCCCTTCCTTCTCCCTGTTAATCTTGGGAGAAAAGTGAAAATCAATGCTTTGAAAAAAGGGAAAATAAGCTGGGAGCTGAGCTTTTTATTGGAACACAAATAGTTTGACCTCTGGCTCATTTTTTGGCTTACAGGCATCAAGTGAGGTAAGAGAATCTGCAGAAAAGACCCATTTCTTCAATGTGCCTGCCTTCCTGACAGTTTCTGGCCAACTCCATTTGGAAGTGATGGCAGGGTGAGTTTTTATCTTGATCTGTGGTGGTTTTGCCCTGTTGGTATCCATTAGATATCTGTCATGTATGTGCCAGAAATTAATTGAGTGGCAGTGGCTGAATGATGGTGTGAGAGGCTGGTCCAGGCAGGGGAAAATTAAATGGCTTTTTAATTCAAATCTATGGATCAGTTTTAAATACTAGGAGTCTCTTTCTGCTTGCCATGCTTTGGGAACATTGGATCGAGACGTAATCTTTATGGGAATGACTGTAGGATTATTGCTAGTCACTGCTAGCAAGGTTCTTTTTGTTATTGCTTATGTCTGGCATGTCTCAGCAAGAAAATCTTTTTCATTTTATCTATCACATCCTTTTCTCTTTTCTCCTTTTTTTTACCCCCCCAAGCTTCTTTTTTGTGTCTTTTTTGTGTCTTCTTCAATCTTTCTGTTGTGCTTTTTCCTTCTATTGTAATTTCTTTTGTTTCATGGTTTTCACACTTGATGCTTTATCATAAAATAAAATGAGAATAGTTTGGCTTTGGAGGGACCTTTAAAGATCATCTGTTTCAAGCCCCCTGAATTAGCGGGGTTGTCTTCAACTTGATCAGGTTGCTCAAAGCTTCATCCAACCTGGCCTTGAATGTTTCCAGAAATGGCATCCACCTCCTCTCTGAGCAACCTGTTCCAGTGCTTCACCACCTTCATTGTTACAAAACTCATTCCTTAAATCTAATTTTTTTTCATTCTAACTACTGAAGTGATCACAGTCAAATAATTAATACTGCCTTTCATTAAAAAATTACCCTTAAGCTTTTAATGTTTCACTAAGATTGTTAAGGGTGAAAGTGTCAATCTGTCAGAGAGACAGTTCCCTTTGATTAAGAGGGTTGGTCTTCCTCTACACTGAATTTTCCCAATAAATTAAATAAATGAGTACGTTAAACAGCTGGAGTGAAATCAGCACAGTCCCTTATTTGAAGGCACATTTTTCTGAGCACTTGCAGTGTGGGTTCTCCTCACACATGGTACTTCAGCCAAATCCCTGCTTGCCAGCTGAGTGGCTGATAAAGCCTGTCAGAGATCAGATCTCAGTCAGGTAGCACTGCAGTTGTTTGCCACGTGCCAAGGGGGTTCCTCATGCACTTATAGTGACTTCAAAATCACTTTTAAAGTGATTTGTTAGTGTCCAGTGGAAATCTGAAGGTGGGAGGGATAAAATCCCAGCTTTAAAAAATGCGACCTTGAAAGATCTGCCTCTCCACATGGATGTTCTGTATTTCTAATAGTCTTAGTATTTGCTGTTCTTGCCTTGTATCCAGTGTTGAGAACCAGTGGGGTTTTTTATGTAATCACTGTTGCAGTTTAATTGGCTGCTGGTAAATAGCTGCTGTGAAATTGCTCAAAGGGCAAGTTTTGCTTATAAATCAAAACATATAAACTTCTTCAGAAAGCTCTTTCTACTCGGCTTGTTCTCTTCTCAGATCACCTCAGTGTCTGTGATACGCTGAATACTCAAGCTAAAGGTTCTCAAAGGACAGGGTATTTCTCATGCCCTGTCTGCTGTGACCAAAGCACAGGTCACTTGACTGCCAACGACTTATGTGTCATCTCAGACATTAGCTGGGGAAAGCTAATGATGAAGAGGTTTATTTAACTGTAAGGGGAGGGTGGAGTTTTTGTGTGCCTGGAAGAAGATGAGATGACATGCATTTGTATGTATTAGACTTAATTGACTGTCCTGCGTTGTGACCTATATTGAAAGATGTAATTCCACAAATCAAATAAGTCCAAAGAAAGAATATGGATTCTAATGATTAACTTGAAATACAATCTCGCTCTCTATTCCCTTTAAATAGTGCACAGACTGCTCTGGGATGGAGCAGAAAGCTGAACTGGGCAGATGCAAGATCTGTCTGGGTAATAATTTTTCCACTGCTATCACTCAGATGCACCTTGCTCTCTAAGGATGGATAAATAAAAAATCAATGCTCTTCAGCATGCAGTACTTCATGTTCCTATTTTACAGTAGTGTGTTGTTCTTATGGGCATTTTAAATGGATCCAGGGCCATCTAAATTTAGATAAGCAATCTTTATTCATAATAGTGCATAACTGTTCTGGGAACCTGCTCCTTTTATTTTAGTTTTTATTTAAGTACACTGAGTGTTTGAGGCCTGCAGCTCAAATTATATTAAATCTCTTCGGTCTTCAAAAATAGATGAAGCTCTTCTAGATGCAAAAGCACGGTAGTGATGCATCATACAACATTAACTCTCTAGATGCTGTGAGACCCTCTAGAGCATAGAATTCTAGAATGGTTTGGGTTGGAAGAGACCTTAAAGATCATCTAGTTCCAATGTCTCTGCCATGGGCAGGGACACTTTCCAGTAGATCAGGTTTCTCAAGGCCCGATTCAGCCAGGCCTTGAACGCTTCCAGGGATGGGGCATCCACAGCTTTTCTGGGCAACCTGTGCTAGTGCCTCACCACCCTCACAGTAAAGAATTTCTTCCCAATATCTAGTTTAAACCTACCCTCTCAGTTTAAAGCCATTCCTCCATGTTCCATCACTTCATGCCCTTGTCAAAATCCCTCTCCAGCTATCTTCTAGCCCCTTTAAGTACTGGAAGGGGCTCAAAGTTCTCCCCAGAGCCTTTTCTTCTTCAGGCTGAACAACCCCAACTCTCTCAGTCTGTGTCCATTGCAGAGGTGCACCAGCCCTCTGAGCATCTTTGTGGTTTACTTTGGACTCACTGCAACAGGTCCATGTCCTCTTACACTGAGGGGCCCCAGAATTGGATGCAGTACTCCCAGGTGAGGTGTCATAAGGGCAGAGTAGAGAGGTGAGATGCTGTGAAACCCTCAAGATGCTGTGAAGGTTTTATCTCTGGTTAGCGAGTTGGGGTTTTGCTCTGTGAATGGGACTCCTATGTAGTTAAAGAAAGTAAATGCATGATAGTAACCAGAGCTGCTTTGCAAATGAAGGTGTGATGATGCTTTCAGCGTAGTAAAAAGTGGGAGTCTTCTCCCCTAAAACAGAAATATTCTAATCTTCCCAATAAACAAAGCAGGCAAAACAGTAAAGATTTATCTGGTTTGGATTTGATCCCTTGAAATTCACCCTTTGCTTTAGCCAGGTTTAATTCATCATGCCCAGAAAAGGATCTAATCTTCAAAATTCTTCAAAAATTCTCTTTGTCTTAAATAAAATGTTGACTTCTTGCAGTCTTAAGGCTCTCAAGAGCACCTGGTCCCTGAGAATTTGTGGGAGGGAGACCCACAAGATGGAAATGCTGGAGAGAACCTTAACCATCCAGTCTTGGCCCATATCCTTTTGTGACTTTTTGTAGGACTTTGGGAACACAGAGACTGATCTTGCAGAAGTCCATTAGAAACCAGAGGTGGAGCAGGATAGGTATGAGAGGCAAATAGGAATTTGTCCATGGGGATGTATGTAGTAGGGAACAGATGGTCAAGTAGGCAGTCATGTCTCTTTAGGCTTAGCTTTAGCTTTGCAGAGCTCATGAGCAGCCTCCAACCTGTAGATGGAAAAGGCTGGGAAGGGGAGGTGTGGAAAAGACTGACCAAATATGTCTGGAATCACATTTTCTATGTCCTTTCAGACTACAGGGTGAGTGCCCATGCCTGCATGTTGTCCAGGGCTCAGGGCTCCATTTCATGGCAAGGCTTTTGGGGTGTTATTCCTGTTCACAGGAGAGAACACTGAGCCATTTATAGTTTGTGAGTTTTTTTCTTTGAGGAAAAGTGGGGACAGAGATGTTCCTGCGTTTATTGACTGTCTGCTGTGCTTGTTATTGAAGGCAAGGTCAGAGAAGTTCATCTTGTCTCTCAGAGCGGCCTAGTTGGCACAACTTCTCACTTCATTGTGCTTCATCTTTGCGGTGACGGCATCTAGGTTGTCTGCTCAGGGTGTCTGAATCATTGTCAGCTGCAGTAAATCTATGGGCTTTTTAAGGTCTCCAGAAAAGTCTTTATTCAGTGGTACAGCTCTCCGCTTTAGTCTCCTCAGTCTCGAATGAGTCAGTAACCATGTGTGGTAAAAGTCTGTAGGACTCTGTGTGTCCTCATATCTGGTTTTAAATGTCATTGGTTTGCTGTGAAGTCTGTGTGGTGTTTCTTTGCCCCCCCCCCCAATCCTCCAGTGGGGATAAAGGCCCCTTGGGGGACCTGAACTGGGTTGGAGGGTCTGTGACAGCTGAAGATGATTCAGAGGCATACTGAAGACAGCCAAAGCCAACTGTTGTCAAGAAGTACAGCTCACTGGCTGTAGTTACCTTTTTGTTCTTGTTTTGTTTCTCCTTTCACCCATCTGCACTTCCCCCAAGCTGTACCTGCTCCTCTACTTTCAGCTCCTCTTGCTAAAGGTGTTTTCTCATTGTGTAACATTTCATCCCAGGCACTGTCTGTTCTGCCTTTCGCGTCCTGAGCTTAAAATTTCTTTTCCTAGAAGCTCTGGGAGCTATCCGCTCCTTAAATTGCAGAATAAGTTATGTCCACATTCCTTGCCCTCCCTAGCTCTGTTTCTTTTTTCTTTTAAGGCCTTCATTACATTTCTGCTCTCTTGTTCATCTCACGTTCTCTTGAAGTTCCCTGCAGATGGGAGGGGCAACATAATAGCAGCCTGTTAGGACCTGCAAAGAGGTTATCAAGAAGACAAACTCGCTTTTTGCAATGGTGAATGACAGGAGGACAAGAGACAATGGGGATAAACTGAAATGAGAAGTTCTGAGTGGATATAGGTGGAAAAAAAATCATGAATAAATCTGTCAAGCATTGGAAAAGATTGCTGAGAGAAACTCTGTACTGTTCATCAGAGACACAGCTAGATGGAGCCTTGAGCAGCTTGCTCTGGCCTTCTTTGAACAGCAGACTGGACCAATGACCTCCTGAGTTATTTTCTCCTTCTAAGTTTTTTCTTGACTTCATTCTCATTTTCGTCTCCACCTATCTTGTGCATAAGACCATCTTGGTGAATTCTCTCTCTAGTTCAATTTCAGTTCAACAT